TACAACCATTGTTAACCTTTCTAACCAAAAGACAGTCTCTAGAATTGAGAAGTGAAAAGTTCAGCAGGTCTCCTCTGATACTCCTCTCAACCAGTTATAGCAGAAAGGGCACCTGGGACGGGCCAGCCACGTCTGCACATAGGCCACAGCAGCCTGCATATCTGGTTATCTCCCCAAATACTGTATACTAAAACTAAAAGCCACACTTTGTACACCCTTTAGGCCCCCTGTAGCACACTTAACAATGCCTTCCACCAAGTGTGCTTCCATAAATGTGTGTTAGACTTTCTGGGTTTGTGTACATTTCATTCCTTTCCCCTTGGGGAAAGTTGCTCTTTTCCAAGAAAGAAAAGCAAGAATAAGCTGAACACAGGAAATAATATGAAATAGGCTTCACAAGAACACTTCAGAATATTCCCACTGGCAGCCCCAAATCTTGCTTATCTTTGTTAGCTGGCACTGTAAAAGATGTTTCTCTAATATTTTAGTAAGGGCCTCTCTTCATTTCTTCACAGCCTAGGGAGTACACAGAAAAAAAAAAAAAAAAAAAAAAGGAGAATGAGTTCAGAGAAGCCCTTAGGGAGCCAATAAGAAGACAGTGCTGTTGGGCTCTAAGCTGTTTCCAACCTGGGAATCCCCAATGTGCCAGACGTGGGGAGCAGGTCGGGGGTAGGAAAGGGTCGTGGGATTGGGTCTAGAAGGGAACACACAAGACAGCCTGGTCAGCATCAAATAAGTCTTCAAGATTTATCTCTAGAGCTCAGTTATATTTTGGGAGATTTTCAAGGGGTGTGATTATGTCTTGATTTACTTTCTTGTCTATGGAAGACATAGTGTCAGGCTTGGATTCATGTTTAATCAATATTATGATCTGGCACCCTTATTGCTATAACATATCAGGAAATGAACTTAGCAATGCACCTTATTTTTCCAGACACAGAAATCTGAACATAAATCTTGCCTGGATGAAAAGAAGACTCCAAAATTTTGACTTACACTGATATCTGTGTTATATGCAATTGTGAAACTAGCCTTGATTTTGCAGGTTTCAGTGGTTTAGTTGGCTTTTAATGTACACATTCCCATAAACATGCTTCAACTCTGTTCGCCCTGCATGCATAAACGATTATTACCATCAGCATTCTGATATGGTGTATACCAGTTCTATCTTACCAGTTGTACACAGAAAATTATTATAGCTTAAACTGAAAACCCAGTCTTTAATGAATAACTCAAAAAAACAATTCTTTTCTAACTAGGCAAGATGCTAGAAATACAATGGCAAGCAATAGACATGGCACAAATTTCAAGGAGCTAGAAGATCTTTTTAATTCAAATAGAACAACAATTTATATGGTAGTTTTGTATTGTCCTAAGTTAGCCGAGTTGAACTTCATTTCCCAGAATTCCTTTCCCTGTAGTACTCCCTTTAGGGTTGGCCACAAGAGATATCTGATGAGTTTTGGAAGGCATAAGTGAAACTGCAGCCTGACTGGTATGTTGTTGGGCACCAAGTAGTGTTGCAGCTTGCACACGATGTCACTAACTGGCTGGATCACCATATTGGCAAGGGGTAGTGCCTGGCTTGATGCTGCTTCAGATCCTGCCACATCTCCTTCAGTTTCTCCAATTCTTGGGCCAGGTGCATGCACAACTCCTTCTGCAAGTCACCCATGTCCATGATGTTGGAGGCAGTGTTAGACAGACCTCAGTTCCAGTTTGTCCTTGTTCTCCCCCATTTTACATCCAGTTTTTCCACTGTGGAGTCTGCTGACCTACAGTGACTTCAGGGCCTCACAGAATTCAAGGTGACAGCCTTACATAGACCACAGCAGCCCTACACACTTGTGTAAGATCTAATTCCTATAATAAATATCTTACTCTATCTCTCATGGTGGTTCTGCTTCCCTGGTTGAACCCTGAACCCTGAGAGATCAGTTACCTATATTTTACAAGCAAATAGGCTTTGAGGACAGACAGTATAGAGTTTACAAACTTTTCAATGAAGAAATGGTTTTAAACACATGGCCATGTAGTATCAGTGCTTACCAATCTAAGGAATAGACATGTACCAGCTCTCAGCTGAAACCATATATCCATCTTGATAAGTGCTAACAGTTAAACTCCAAAATACCAGTCCAAACCTTCTCTTTTCTTCCCCTCAAATCTGCTTTCTTTTCCCCAACTATTAGTTAGGAGAGGCATAAAATAATGGCAATAGAACTAAATTCCAAAGAAGAAGGAAATCTGAATTTAGGACTTCCACAGGACAGCAATGTGCTTGGAGTTAAGGTGTCTTCTCCACCGTCAGCTCTCACAATGGTTACAAAGACTCCAATTTTCTTTTCTTTTCCCTTTTTTTTTTTTTTTTTTTTTTTTGAGATGGAGTTTCACTCTTTTTGTCCAGGCTGGAGTGCAATGGTGTGAACTCGGCTCACCACAACCTCCGCCTCCCAGGTTCAAGTGATTCTCCTGCCTCAGCCTCCCGAGTAGCTGGGATTACAGGCATGCACCACCACTCCCAGCTAATTTTGTATTTTTAGCAAAGACTAGGTTTCTCCATGTTGGTCAGGCTGGTCTTGAACTCCTGACCTCATGATCCACCCACCTTGTCCTCCCAAATAGCTGGGATTACAGGCATGAGCCACTGCGCCCAGCCTAGACTCCAATTTTCATAAGAAACTGTCCAACTTGCTGTGACAAGATACTAATCTGAAGACATCATGAGTTCATATATTACCTAATTATTTACAATTCAGGATTTGTTTGCATTTAATTCCTACCTGGCAAGGGATTCTTTTTTTCCTCCCTGCAAACCTACAGAGGCAGTTGGTTACTTGGAGAAGCAACAAATGCCTTTCTCAGATAGGAAGGTCAGTCCATCTAGGCTGACAGGATTCAAACACACTAAAGATACTTACAGAACGCAGACTGGTTGTTGATGGAAAATGGATGTTTTGAGGATTGAAGTCTTTGAAGCTAGTTGAGCTAACAAAGGCAGAGATCACTTGGGAAAGGTCACAGAGCAATGAAATCATCTTTTTTGTGTCTTTCTTTTCCATTAGATTACATACTTCCTAAGAGCAGAGACCATGGGTCTTAGTTTTCTTTGTAGCTCCATCAGCTACAAAGAAAAGGTGCCTGGCATATAGGAGGTGCATATTGAATTATTTTCCCAACTAAAAAGACCTGGTTCTTGTTAAAGAGGAAACAAATCCATATATATTTTTAAAGAGACACTTAAATTTACTAAATTTACTAAAGACCAAGTGGTCTTAAAAGGCCAGGAAATATTCCTCTATGAAGGGGCTGGTCTCATGAAGCTGGTCATACCCACTCAGTCAGCTCACTACACTCATTTTCCCAAACAAAACAGAAAAAAAATGTGGGACCATGAGAAGATTCTGAATTCTCCAGGGTCTGAGCCAAGTAATTTAGGATTATTTACCTCTCTCATTCCATGCAGGATATTTGGAAAGAGAACACAGTCAACCCCTTTTAAAAACTACTAATATCACAAAGCGCAGCAAGAAAAACGATGACTACTAAGCTGTCACCTACCAAGTATATTTTGAAATTTCTAGATAGTTGCCAAAGAGGAAAAGCTAACACCAACAATGGCCAAAGACACCTGCATCTTCTGTATATTCATTCTCAGCAAGACCTTTTGCTCCTAGGTATACCTGGAGAACATCACCTTCTCCAGCAGCAGAGGAGAAGCTGCATTTGGTAAACTCAGCTATGGAGGTCAGTCATCCAGCACCAAGTACATAGAAGGTTAGAACCTCTTGTATCCCTGGATGGTGGGCATCTCCTCTGACCAGGCTTCAAGGCTGACATTCACCAGGGTTCCCTGCCACCCCCACCTTCACATTGGTCTTCTCATCCTTTATACTTCCCCTGAGCTACCTGATGCATTTACCACGGTTTGGTGATCATTCTCCCTGTCCCTGAGTGCTAGACTTGTATAAATAATAATAGATAATCTATTAGTCATCTTCACCCAAATTTCCAGCATTCAACAGCAAATTATTTCTTGAGTGCCTAGAATGTACGAGGCTTGGGATACATCCAGGAACAAAGCCCAGATCCCTGCCCTCATGGAACTCCCACTCCAAGGACATGTTTGCTAACTCAGCGTTCTCAAACAGAACCCACCAGCCTCCTGGCCCCTACTCCCCTGCTCTGTGCCTCTTCTGTTAACAGCATCACCATTTACCTACCAGCTTCTTTCCCACCTCACCCCTACTGGGTACTAAATCCTGCCAGGTTGACCTCTAATGAGCTCTCAAATCATGGACTCAGCTTTATGCCCTCATTCCAGCTGCTTCAGACCGCATTTGGTCTTATTGGCCCTCCTCCTTGAGACCCCTCCCCCTCAGCCCATTCACACGCTGCCACCACAAAGGTTCTCTGAAACACAGATCTGAGCATATCACTCCCCTGCTATAACCATTCTCCATTGCTCAAAGGATTCCAAGCCCTCTGCCATCTGGCCCAACCTCCATTATCAGACTTACCTTCTACTACAACCTGAGTTCCAGTTATACCTCACTGAGGCCCCCATTCACTCACTTCCTTGCCTCAGCCCTCCCTCCTTCTCCTGGCCTGCTAAGTCCTTACTCATTCTTTAAGGACCAGCCTAACTGACATCTCTTCTTGGAAGATTTCCTCTATTCAAGCAGGCAGTTAGTTGCTTTCTCCTGCAAGTCAATGATGATATTATACTGATCTGCTTTCTGCTTTGCCTCCTCCCCAGGCTGAGACTTCACTGAAATTCAGGATCATGCTGTCCGTGTTGAACTACCCCAGACACTCCCCAGCCCCACTCAGCACTATGTCTGGCATGCAGGAGATGCTCAAACAAACAGCTGTTCATTTTGGGTAACCCTCTTACATTAGAGGTAAAAGCCTTTTGCTTACCAGTAAGGATTCTTAATTCACTAGCAAGAATTTTTCTAGGCACAGTAGGTATTAGATTAAATTTGGTAATCACTCACTTCGCTTCTGGAAGCAACAGCCCGGTGCAGTGGAGTCAGCCACATGTTGTCCTTGGCATTTACACGAGCTCCTGGAACAAAATAGCACAAGTTAGAGGCATAATGGAGTCAAGGGAAGCCCTGCTGACGTTAAGTCAAATACTGTATCTTGCTCACATTTGCCTGACATAACTACCACCTCTTCTTTTCTTTGTATTAGTCATGTTCTGACAAGATTTGATCAAGGCTGAGGGGACCAGCAGAAGTCTGCTTTATCTAAAAATCTGGGACTAGCCAGATATGTTGGTAAAAAAGAAGCCAGTTTCCATGAGGCTTTTGGATAGATATGATATCAGGCCTATAAATTGCTCACTACTTTCTCAAACTATGGGGTAGGCAGACAGGCTCAAGCATGAGCCAAAACCAGCTCACACTCAGAATTATGAGTGCCCATGCTCAGCTCTATGAAGTCATGCCATCATCATGGAACAGAAGCTCCCTGCAAATGAATTCACAGGAAGCAGAGTTCACCCACCTTCCATGACACCCTTGCCATTCTCCATGAGCACCAGCCCACCAAGTCTATGTCTGAACAGCAAAGATATCTGATATAAGCTTCCTTTTAGGGGGTTCAGGGTTTTGACTAGTCTTCTGGTCAGACTTGAGATGTTTTATAAAAGGGCTACAAAAAGGGAGGAGAAGAAAATATGTATGACATCTTTGAAGAAGCAATAAGTCAATTCTAGCCTTAGGATGATGAGGAAGGAAGCTCCTGAGGACAGAGAATGGAGAAACAAATCAAAGAAACTAGAAAGTAAGGCAGAGAAAAGGAAACACAGAGGTGGCCCCTCAGGACAAGGGCTGAGAAAGTAAGTCAAGGGGAAGCAGAAGCTGACTAATCTCCAAGAGGCTAAGGCCAGCTGATAGCTGGAAAATAGAAACTTTTTTAAAAGGCAGTGGACTTTCATGCATAAACGTGAGTTACAAGTTTAGTTTAAGGCACTGGCTAAAAGTAAATAAAAATCAAAGAACTTATACTATTCTTTTCTTTAACTGAAGAAGAACAAATGCCATCAACAGCATTAATCGTAGAAAACAAGAACATAATCCCTAAAAGACAGCTAGAATGCCTCCCCTCCAACCTCCATTTTGATGTCACTGGTTTCAGATGGGGTCAGGTACAAAGGTTATCACACTATGCTGTCAAGGTTGAGAGCCACTGATGAATTGTTGCTTAATTTATCCAGGTTAAAATTATTTAAATCCTAATTCCACTAACACCAGCTTGCCTGAAGGAGTTCAAACTCCTTACGTCAGTAAGGCCCACAGTAAAATCAGTTTGGGTGTGCAAAAATCAATAGGCATCTCTGGCCTCAGTAACAGGAAGCTGTGGGCTAAATGCTCTGGCATGAAATGAATGCGGTTTTGGAAGGACAGTGGGATTCATGGTCGGAGATGTAGATTAAGTTCTGATTTCAGCACCTGCTGGCCCAATGACCAAGAGTCACTAATCTGCACAATGAGGCTAACAACAACAGTATTAACACTTCTCTACCCATTTCACCAGGTGCTAAGGAGAATTAAGTGAATAGGAAAGTGCTTTGTAAATTGCAAGGTACTAGAAAAACATCAGCTGTTCTTATTTCCAAATCACCTCTAATGTCTCATTCACCTCTAAATCTATGATTCAGATTTTCAAAGGAAGTGAAAGGCATGATCCTTGCCCTACAAAGGAAGAAGTCAAATAGGAAATTTAAGAACACAACCATCACCTAAAGACTGTACAAATACATGTCTTTTTAAGACATGTATTTTTAAGAGCAAGAGAACTCAAGTGCTAGAGAATGCTAGGGAGAAGAAAATCCAGATGTGATTAAGAACAGCAAAATTGGTTAATTTTAAAACAAAATTACCACTACCAAAACCAAAGTTTAGATTTCTTCTTCTAAATATTAGTTTCAACACAGTGTCAGGTGATAGTCACAAAGTCTACCTTTCTGGTTTAGAAACACAGCATTTAACCCTTCAGATCTTCCAACACTCTGGATTCCAACCTTTTAAAATTACCTGCCTTTTGGTCAGGACTTTTCTTGCATCATAAATAAATATATTTATGACCACATTGTGTGGTAGATTTGACCACACTGTGTTTCTGTCTAGTAAGCTGAGTGCACATTTATTTCTTATTTTGGGGCTGTTTCTTTGGCACCCATGTCACAAACATCTCTCAGACCTTATGCGTCCTAGAGAGCTGGAATTATTTTTATTATGGTCTTTGGCAGAGGAAATTTTGTGCTTTCAATTTTTTGTAAATTCAAAAAATGATTGCAAGAAGAAACCCAAATGTGAAGACACATGTGGAAAGGTACTTCTCAAAATTCGTTAGGGAGAAGCAAATGAAAGCAGCATTAGCATACCATTTCACATCCATTAAATTGGTAAAAATAATAAAGTGCGACAAGGCCAAGATTTAGCAAGGGTATGGAGCAACAGGAAAACTTAACATACAGTTGGGAAGAGTATGAATTGGTACAACCTCCTTTGGGACACAATGTGGCATTACCTAGTAAAGCTGATGACATGCATGCCCAACCACCTAGCAATTCCACCCCAATCATATACCCTAGAGAAACTCTCATACATGTACATGAATGTTCACTGCAACATGTTGATGACAACAAGAAATTGGAATCCTAAATGTCAATTAAGAGGAAAATGGATAAAGACATTGTGGTACATCTGTACAATGGAATTCTACACTGTCATGGAAAGGAGCAGACTGACGTTCTGTATATGTAAACAGATGTACTTTTAAAATCATAACACCGAATGAACAAATCAAGCTGCAGAATTATACCTATGGCATAACACCAGTTGTATGTCTATATGTTGTTTATGGATGCATAGACATAAAAGTTTAAAATATGGCTAAGGAGTATAAATACTAATTCTGGATAGTGGTTGCATCTAGGGAAAGAGGGATGTGAAAAGAATGAAGTAAGAGTACCCATACAGCTGCAACTGTGTTTTCAATGTTTTATTTCCTTAAATATATATATCATATATATATATATACACATAAATATATATAATACAAATATGGCAAAATATTAAGAGTTCTTAAAACTTAGTGGAAGGTATAGGGATATTCACTATATTATTCTCCATAGTTTTCTGTATGTTTGAAATATTTTCTACAAAATATTTTTAAGAAAGCTAGTGCATTTGAAGTTTTATGTTTCTCAATGAAAATAATGGGGGAGGGGGAACTAAGCTGCTTTTGTGTGTGTGAAATGGAGTCTTGCTCTGTCACCCAGGCTGGAGTGCAGTGGTGCGATCTCGGCTCACTGCAACCTCCACCTCCCCAGTTCAAGCGATTCTCCCACCTCAGCCTCCCAAGTAGGTGGGATTACAGGTACCTGCCACCATGCCCCGCTAATTTTTTAATTTTTTAGTACAGACAGGGTTTTGCCATTTTGGCCAGGGTAGTCTTGAACTCCTGACCTCAGGTGATCTGCCTGCCTTGGGTGCAAGTATTTGTCTAGGATAAATAATTTAAAATGGACTTTATGTGTCATAGATAATACACACTTTCGGTTTCAAAAGGTCATGTAAAGCCTCTAAAGTGTGCCGGTTTACACCCTCGGAATGTATGAGATTGCTTAGTTTCCCCACATCCTCATCAACACTTGATATTATCAGACATTAAAATATATTTTTTTAAATTTTTTAGAGACAGGGTCTCACTCTGCCACTCAGGCTGGAGTGTAGTGGCATTATCATAGCTCACTGCAGCCTTAAGACTCCTGGGCTCAAGCAATCCTCCTGCCTCAGCCTCCAGAGTAGCTACGACTGCAGGCACATACCACCATGCCCAGCTAATTTTTTAAATTTTTTTGTAGAGATGAGGTCTTTCTTTGTTTCCCAGGCTGGTCTCAAACTTCTGCCCTCAAGTGATCCTCCTACTTCAGCCTCCTAGTGTGCTGAGATTACAGGTGTGAGCCACCAGGCCCAGTCAGACATTTTAAATATTGCAAATCTGAGTCAATAATACTGTATCATGCACTTAAACATTTGTTAAGAGGATAGATCTCATGTTAAGTGTTCTTACCACACACACTTCCCAAAAAACTCCAAAATAACAAGAACAAAGGGGCACAAGGAAACTTTTGGAGGTGACAGAGATGTCTATTACCTTGATTGTGGTGATAATTTCATGGGTATTTGCATATGTCCAAACTCATCAAGTTGTAGATATTAAATATACGCAGCTTATTGTATTTCAATTATACTTCAATAAAGCTGCTTTAAAAATAAATAGGCCGAGCGTGGTGGCTCATGCCTATAATCCCAGCACTTTTGGGAGGCTGAGGTGGATGGAACACCTGAGGTCAGGAGTTCGAGACCAACCTGGTCAACTGGTGAAACCCTGTCTCTACTAAAGATACAAAAATTAGCCTGGCGTGGTGGCACACGCCTGTAATCCCAGCTACTCAAAAGGCTGAGGCAGAAGAATCGCTTGAACCTGGGAGGTGGAAGTTGCAGTGAGCCAGGATCACACCACTGTGCTCCAGCCTGGGCAACAGAGCAAGACTCTGTCTCAAATACATACATACATACATACAAATCTGATTTTAAAAAGAGCATCTTTTTTTTTAGTTTCTGGTCTAACAATAAGGTTAGACATCTTCTAATATGTTTGATTACTAGCCATTTGTAATTCATTTTCTGAGAATTACTTGTTCATATTCTTTATATATTTCTCCCATTTTTCCGTTATTTTTCTTATTTATATTTATATCCTTTTATCATTATTATTATTATACTGCATTCTGAAAATTTTTAGTTTTATGCAGATCCAAATTTGGCTTTCAATATTAAAAATCTCTCAAGGAGAAAAATGATACCACGCAGGCTGAACCTCATACGGTGACACACACCTGGACTGTAACGACACCAGCATTGTTAGCGTGTCGCTTCAGAGTCCCTTGAGAAATTTCAAGGTGATTAGAAATGTAGGCAATGGCTTCTTTCAGTCAATGATTAAGTCCTCCATTCCTCCACTTCTCCTTCTCATGGCGGTTGAATAGGCAGCTGCCAGGAAAACCTCCTTTCCCCCATAACAAAAATTATTATAACAAAAGCGGAGTTATCTGAATGGAGACCCAAGAAGCATTTCATCAGTGTCATTTCTTGCTGCCGGCTTCCTCATCCTCTTTCTCTGAACACGTTTAAGAGTCTTGTTTACATGTCAGAGGGAGATGTCAGATGGTTTTGGCTATGAATTGAATATTTATAGCTGATTTTTTTCTAAAGGAAGCTTCACATTATTTACCTGCCTGTCAGGCACCATTGTGCACCGAAGGACACAGTCTGCATGTCTAATGATTTAAAGGCAAATGCTTTTTTACCCAAGGACATGTTAAAGCTTAAACATGAAAATAAGCGCTAGGGTATACTGATTCTTTAGAAACAAAGGCCCAATCCATCAGACATGATCTGTAATTACAAACTAAGGATGTTCTTCATCTTATCCCTATTACCTCTTAATTTTATTTTCATAGAGATCAGGGGTAAAGTAAACTCTGGGCATCTTTTCCAGAGGCAATATTTCTGTTCTGTAAGCCATGTCGTCTAGGAAGAAGTAGAATAAAGAAAACAGAAGTGGTGTGATAAGGGTGGACTGAGTGTGACTGAAAAATCTCACAAGCCAAAGAGAATAATTTCTTCCTAAGCTTAACTTATCCAAAGTTTGGCTTTTAATTGTTGAAGTAAACATGAAAGGTTATAAAAATATGATTATAATATAATGAAATCAACTTGCTATTGATTTTTTTTTAACAAACCAAATCATACAGTACAGGAGTGCTTCAAAACAATTACCTTAGAAGAGGGTATGATAATTCCATGAACATGGCAATTGCTGAAAACATTTAACAAACTCTCCTTGGAGTTGCCTTTATGGCCAATTTGCACACCCATCAGAAAATGGCTTATTACTTTATAATTGCACCACATTCGTAGGCCAAAATCAGCATTGCCTGGTTTAATCGCCCCTCTTTCACCAGATAAAAAATATCAAATTCATCCTCAAAGGATGAATATTTGTTATGCATAAGGAATAAAAAGAATGATGTGCCCCCAGCCCTGGAAATAATTTGCATTGAGAGTAATAAGCACGTTTTGAAAATGTATAGGAAATAATTTTGCAGGACTACCACTTGTTGGGTTGCATAAATTCTATGGCCAGATGTGGTGGCTCATGCCTGTAATCCCAGCACTTCAAGAGGCCAAGATGGGAGGATCACTTGAGGCCAGGAGTTCGAGACCAGTCTGAACAACCTAGCAAGATCCCATCTTAAAAAAAAGTAAATTAAATTAAAACTTAAAAATAAATTCTAATAAATTTTACTTAGTAGTTATGCCTCACAAACACTCCCGTATTAGAGAGTACTTCCAGTTTTCTTCTTTCAACCCAGAACCCTATAATCCTTACTTGTCCTCAGAGTTTTCTCTGTAGGATCTTTTTTTTTTTTTTTTTTTTTTTTTTTTTTTGAGATGGAGTCTTACTTTGTCACCCAGGCTGGAGCACAGTGGTGCAATCTCAGCTCACTGCAACCTCCACCTATAAGGCTCAAGCGATTCTCCTGCCTCAGCCTCCTGAGTAGCTGGGATTACAGGCACCTACCACCACGTTCAGCTACTTTTTTAAATTTTAGTAGAGATAGGTTTCATAACCAGGCTGGTCTTGAACTCCTGACCTCAAGTGATCCTCCCACCTCAGCTTCCCAAAGTGCTGGGATTACAGGCTTGAGCCATCACACCCAGCCTTTGTAAGATATTTCTACTGTGGTCCTTTTTCTGTGTACTCTGCTTCCTATATCCCAACCCCAGTATCTTAACTCTCAGCCACTGATTGGTTCTCACTGATCTCTCTGACTTAATCCAGATTCGGCCCGTTCCCAATCAGACACTAGAGTCAGGAGGGAAATAAAGCCACACTTTGAACTGGGAGTTGTAAGAAAGTGAAATTTGCAAGGCCTGAATTCTTCCCCAAGACCTTGTCTTCCCCATCTGCTCAGAGGTATTCAGGGTTCCATCCACCTGGCTAACAGGAGATAATGCCAGCAGGAATTTAGCAAGCTTGGGTTACACCATGCTCTGTAGGTTAATACAACAATGGAGAACACAGCTGTAATGGGCTGTTCTGGCAAGGCCAAATTATTTGTCCAACAAGGGAATCATTAGCACCTCATTCATTATTAAATTGGGAAACAGTTTGGTTGGATTCCCTAAAGGGTCAGCTGCCAGATACAAGCTCAGAGATAAAATCATCGTGCTCTTGCAATATTAGGAACTTAATATATAAACTGAGTAAAGGACCTTTCAGGGAAAATAAAAGCCATGTGAATTCCAAGAGTTTGCCTCAGCTTCCACAAGTAAATAAAATTGCTAAAAAGGGAAAACTTTCCCAATGCTCCTCATGTCCTAAGTCTTCCTAATTTGATGAGAGGGAGGAGGAAATTTTCCATAGCACATTGAACCGAAATTATGCTAAAGACATTAAGAGCTCAGAAATTCCAAGACCAAACAAGTGAATAGATTAATATATATGCAACAGCTTTTCCCAGTTCTACTAAATCAGCCAGAGTTGAAGAGAGGCTCGTGGATTCCATGCCCATGTGAAGGTGATGTGAAACCATGTTTGTCAAACAATCACTGGCCCCAGATACATGAAAGAAAGAGATTGGGTTGACTTCATGCTGAGAATTAAAATCTTCCCTTTCAGATGCAGAAACAACAACAACACAAAGTTGGCATGTAAGACAAAGTTCTGAATTTGTACATTCATGAAACATTCCTCTGAGACTCTGAGAGGTCTATTAATACAATATTTAAGAGGTGGGTAGGCTGGGCATAGTGGCTCATGCCTATAATCCCAGCACTTTGGGAGGCCAAGGCAGGCAGATCATGAGGTCAGGAGACTGAGACTATCCTGGCTAACATGATGAAACCCCGTCTCTACTAAAAATACAAACAATTAGCCAGGCGTGGTGGCACACGCCTGTGGTCCCAGCTACTTGGGAGGCTGAGGCAGAATCACTTGAAACCAGGAGGCAGAGGTTGCAGTGAGCCGAGATCACGCCACTGCACTCCAGCCTGGGATACAGAGCAAGACTCTGTCTCAAAAATAAATAAATTAATAAAATAAAATAAAAAAGAGGTGGGTATAGCTGATGGGGATCATTAGATGTTATACCACAAAGTTCTTTATTTTATACCTCCACTGATTCTGCCTACAATTTCCCTCGGGCCAAATTGCAACTGCCAGGGCAACCAGCCAGGTGTGCACTGGCCCTTAGTGTGTGCCAACACCAAACAATACACGTTTGTTTGGAACATGGTCCTAGGGCATCTTTAGATTTGTTGGAAGAAAGGCCTGCTCTCAAAAGCACAAGAAATGCCATGTGAAATCTAACCTAAGCTCCATGTGACCATCACGAGCGCGGGGCACACATGTTTTGAGGCACAGAACACTTGTTTCCTGGGGAAACCCACCTCAAGAACATGAACACAACAAAATAAGGGCCATGTTGCTTATGCATCACAGCACAATTCTTGTTTCTTGTCCACAGCGTTCACCACATCTGCTTGAATGCAGGTCTCAGCTCCTACCTCTGCAGAGCTTACTTTAGGATGCCACAGTTCCCCTTTACTGGCGAAACCTTACTAGAGGCCTTTTGACTAGTCCGTAGGCAGAGGCACTTCCTCTAGATGTTAATCTCCCAAACATAAAGGAGGAGGGAGAAAGACAGCCTGTCTGTGAATAATCTACAGTGAGACATCTGCATATGCTCAATTCATTCCAGGATTTGTCTAGTAAACACTCAAGGGAGAAAGCACATAATGGTTTTGGAAACCTGTTTGGTGAGATATACTGAGCATATAGATTTCCAAAAATGAAACCACTGGCATTTTTAAATCTGATGAAATATTTAAAATACATTGAAAAATAAAGACAACAGTTATCACAAAGACCAGTATAAACACAAATCAGATTTAAATGTTTGCCATACTCCCTTTTAAAATACTCAATATTTTAAACATAAAATATTTTACAGAGAGTTGTAGTAGTTCTTTTATAGCCTTCCCTGAAGACATTTTTTACTCAACCTGCCTACTTAGAGGTAACCACTATCCAGAAATCAATATGGTCCCTTGCCTTCCATGTTTTTATGCTTTCATTACATAGTCATAGTCATGTATCCATAAATATAACAGCATTGTTTTGTAGCCCAACTTAAATATATGTAAATATACAAACACATTTAATTGGCATATAAATCTAGGGTGTGCATATATATATGGCATATATACAGTGTGCATATATTATAGCATATATAGTGTATACATGCTATACATAGTGCTTATGTAGCATGTTTATGTAGTGTGTATATATATTCACTATACATAGTGTGTATAGGTGTATGCTCATGTAGACTTCAAACTAGTTTTATTTCCTTTTTTATAATTAAAAAAATCAAAATATATCCTAATGTACTGAATTCATCTACAACGCTGGGCCTGACTAGACAGCCAGGAAACAGACTTTCAAAGCAAGATAAAAATGTTACTGGATAAGTCATTTTTCAATAAGAACAACTTCTTGCATTTTTCTTTGTGTAAAGATAAAATCGCTTATCAAACAAACTTCCATGAACATAACAAAGGAATTTTGCTTGGGTTCACGGTAGTAGTCAATCTAGTAAATTGGTTATTTAAATTTTATTTGCAATTGACTTTTGAATATAGTGGTTATTTACCTGACAAAATCAGGAGTTCAATGATCTCTGCATCTCCCAGAAATGCGGCCACATGAAGAGGGGTTCGTTTCTCAGAATCCTGAAATACACAATGTCAAAGACATACAACAGGTCAGTGGCAGCTGGGTCCCTTTTGAAGACATAGTAAGACGTGTCACTCACTCTGTGGTTAATGCATGTGGAAGAGCGTGAACACCAAACATTCGAGTAATTTCTGGTTATGCATTTGCTCTCAACATACCCTATAGTTACACATAACAAAGGATTCCATTTTCTGTGTCTGTGCTTCGTATTTGCCCACTTGCTCCTTTTACTGAGGCCCAGCTGAGGTCAAAGATAGACCATTAGGCACTGGATGATGAATTTCAACTTACAGTATTTCCAAACCTTCAGGATGGTTAAAAAAAAAAAATCTAACCTACCATAACAACATAGTTCAAAGCTTTCAATGACTTATTTTCTTCCTAAGGAAACATAGTGGAATGGTTCACAAGGACATTAAACATAAGTGCTGTCATTTTCTCCTTTCTATGCTTGTTAATTTTTGTTTGGACCACTGCCCATTCACAAAATACTTATTGAATGCTTACTCTGTACCTGGAACCAAATTCTGGGGACAGAGAGATGAATACAATAGGCCTGGTCCCTGCCCTCATGAAACTCACATTCAAGTGGGGAGGCTGACATTAGTATACTAGACAATAGTATAGCAGGCAATAGTATACTAGACACACATGAGATTACTTCAGATAGTGATAAAGGCTATGACAAAATTAAAACACGGTATGGGATTAAGTGATTCAGGAGATGGTAGTAAGAGTGGTCAGTGAGGCCTTTCTGAGGATGTTGACATTAAGGCTGAGAGCTAAGGTTGATATTATCTCTGTTTTATGTATAAGAAGACTATAGCTCAAATTTTAAAATTTCCTCAAGATTCCACTGGCATATAGCATAGTCAAGATCTGACCTTCACCCAGCAGACTTCAGTCTGTATCTTTGGCAAGGTATTGAACAGATTGTGCTGAGAGGCAGCATGGTAACATGCAAGGGAAAAAAGCATTGCTTCCTCATCTGTAAATCGGCGATAATAAAATCTACCTTAGAGGACTGATAAGAGGACTAAAGATCATATAAGTAAATAAAGCCCTAGGCAAACAGGAGATAAGGGCACAGCAGTGCTCCATACGAAGCCTGTTATTGTCATTGGCATAGAGAGTTGTGTGATATCTTTCCTCCAAGACTGAAAACCCTGGAGTAAAGAACTGGCCTCACTCTTCTTTATCCCCATAGTATCAGCATACTTGGTGCTCAGCATAAATTGGCTGAACTAACCAGTCTACATGTATGGCTTCTTCCACTAACTTCCATTGACTCCTCCATAGCAATGGTAACCAAAGCCCATCTGCTATGTCTTTAAGGTTTCTCCTAAAACTAGCATGTATGTTAGTTTCAAGTTTCTTGGATTCCCTGTTGATTTTAATCATTATTCCTTTCATGATTTGATTATATAATATATCTAACAATCCTTGATTAGCCTAAGGATATTATTCCATTTTCTGACAATCCAGACCCTCTGCTCTTCCTCTGTCTCTCACAGATGATTGCTCTTAGACATTTCATGACTCACTAATATCTAAAACAGATGGCAGGCAGGGGATACAACAAGAATTGATCTTCAAATCAGTCTATTTGTTAGAAAGTCTGGTAAGTAGGTTTTATAAAGAATGTACTACCATTAAGTAGACAAAAAGGAGTTTGGATTCACTGGAAACTTGTGTTATCTATGTACGGCTGCAGGCAATTACTATGGAAAAGTGAAAATAGGGCAGTCACGCAACTATAAAATAATGGTATGCATTGGAAAATTCAGTACGATACATGACTACAATCAACCTTGTTATAGATATATCACCCTATCTTTGAAAATAAAGATTCAGTATTTGAAATCATGTTAACTTATTTGAGAATCAAGTATATTAATTTGTGCAATGAACTATATAAGCTGAGAACAGATTTTCATAAATGTTTTCTATTTCTATTGATATCCTTCGATGTATTTTCCATTTTAGCCTCATGTTCCCTTTGAATCCTCGCTATATGTACTTAAAATTTTCTACTGGGATTTTTGGATAAAAGCTGTGTAATTATATGTTCTTTTGTGAACTGAATTGGTTTCAGGGTTTGGTTCAACAAATCAAACCCTGCCTAAGTGATTTAAACAGGAACTATTCCAACCCAAATTATGACTTCATTTGACCTGAAGCAAAGGCAACTCTGTTTGAGATCTTGGCCTCAAATAAAAAGCTAAGAAAACTCCAACATCCCTCCCTACCTTGCAAATCTGGTGGGCCTGTCATGATATGACTGGTTTTGCTGATTCCATGGCCCCTTTTATGACACAGCTTGTTGAAACCAAAGTTTCTATAACATAAAAAGGGTGTGTTGCATGAACACTGTAAAAATTCTTGATGATGAATCCCAGTGTTCCTGTTAATATGTGTCTAAAGGTTTCTGGTAGTTTCCAGGACAACTACGTGAATTGATATTCTCCTTTAGTGACATGGCACAGACAGGTAACTGCAGAGAAGACTTGTATTCAGGCAGTACTCCTTTTGTTCTCCAAAGCAGCAGAAATATAGAATCACATGTGCTATTAAGACCTTAACCAACATAATAGTGCATTTCCACTACTGACCAAGGGTTGCTAACGCCTTCTCTTCTAACAAGGAACACCTGATCATGAGTCAAAGCGAGAATGACCAAGCCACAGTAATCACCATGCTGGATAGAGAGAAATCAGCCAGGAGGTAGCAGTATGTCCTCTGCCTAGGTAGAAGGCCACTCTACTTTGCCATAAGCTAAACTAATGGAGTAGGAGATGCAATAATAGAAGGAGGGTGAAGGCTCTGGAGAAAAGAGAATAGTAGTAATAATACTGGTTAAAATGGGTTCTAGCCCAATGACATCCTTAGGGTGTCTAGAAGAAGAAACAAATCTAGCTGGTTATTATGAAGTGCTTTTATTTTTATTTTTTCCAAATACCTGCCCAACTATTCTACTACTCCATCTCAAAACATTCCTATCAGGGGAGTCACACCTTTTACAACTGTGTTCTTAAGTCTTATTATCACCATTTAAAAGATAAAGAATCTGAGCCTAGGACAGTTTGTATGACTTAACCCAACGCAGCAAACTGATGTCAAAGAGTTAGGTGTCCTGGTTCTCAACCTGAAACTTTTTTCTTTATAAAAATGAAAGCAGGCTGGGCGCAGGGGCTCACGCCTGTAATCCCAGCACTTTGGGAGGCTGAGGTGGGCGGATCATGAGTTCAGCAGATTGAGACCATCCTGGCTAACATGGTGAAACTCCGTCTCTACTAAAAATAAAAAAAATTAGCTGGGCGTGGTGGCAGGTGCCTGTAGTCCCAGCTACTCGGGAGGCTGAGGCAAGAGAATGGCATGAACCCAGGAGGCGGAGCTTGCAGTGAGCCAAGATCGCACCACTGCACTCCAGCCTGGGCGACAGAGCAAGACTCTGTCTCAAAAAAAAAAGAAAGCAAGAACAACATCTTAGAAGTTCATGTGATAGTCTAAAAATCTTTCTACTACGATCCCTAAGAAATCATGAGAAAAATGTGACAAACATACAGTAAACATCGTTTGAAATGAACTTAGAAGAAATTAAATAGAAAGGGGCCAGAAATGGGGGGGGGAGGCGGTAAATAGAGAACCAAAGCTGGAAGCACATGAACTTATAGTGCAGGGATAGGTCAATACACCAGGCACGTGGGGCTTAACACTTGCAGGCAGTGGGAGATAAGGCAGAGAACTAGAACTGCAACCTCCAACTAAAGAAAGACCCTTGAAGTGGCCTTGAAGAAAGACTCCTGAAGTGAAATGGTGGACTTGGAAAAAAACAATGACAAACAGTCACGTAGGCAGATGGCAAAGAGATGCCTTGTCCTATCCTAGGTTCTTGGTAGTGGAATAAAAATGTTTCCACTGAGCATCCACATCCCCAGAGTCTGCCCTCATGTGGTTTAGAGCTTTGAATTCACATTGCCTGTATAGTCTAGGAATTTACTTTTTTTTTTTCTCCAGGAACTTTCAAGTTGAAATATGCACAAAAAAATGGGTTTTAGACCGATGATACCCCTAAGGTCCCTAGAAGAAGAAACAAAACCTAGCTGGATAGATATGACCTCAATCCAGTCAACCTGAGACACCCACCGATTAAATCTCCGTTGAAAATGAACTCACAAGCCTAAGCCATAAGACTCGTGGAAATGTTCACCATAAGCAAGAGTCAGAAGACTGAAGAACCAGCAAGAACTTGAGATCACAGAAGAATGAGATGAAGAACAAGGATGACATTTAAATTAACTTAAGACACAAAGGACAAAGTGTAAGGGGGGAAACCCCCACTATTTTTGAAAAACAAACAAAATTTGGAGGAAGAGATAATGAAGCAAGTATTATAGAAAGCAGTACAACAACATGATGCTAGACAGCATCTAAAATTTTGGTCTAAGAGGGATCAAAACTCAAAGAGTAAAAAAAGAAAGGGGAGGAGAAAGGAAAAATAAGCACAGGAACTTTGGGGTATGTTTTACAATCATTTATTCAGCCATATTATCTAGACATAGATATTTATTTAGAATCTATTATATGCCAGACATTGAGGTACACATTAGGGATACAAAATTTAAAATATCTAGCCCTCTCACCCTAAAGAAACTTGCAGTCCACTGATCAGTTTCTAAATGTAGGACATTAGAATAAAAACAAGAGCAGGGAAGTGGCAAATAGTGATATCCATGATGTTAAATGATTTGTGAACGTATCAAATGCAATGAGACAAAAATATCTCAGTGAATACTTCCCCCAAACCCCTCCATATCCGAACTGGCCTGGGCAGTAAGTCTTAACTGACAAGAAAAAAAAAAAAGAAATCTCTTCTGAATTGGGAATTCAACACATCTTGCCCAGAACTCCCTAAAGGTCCTATTGGTTCCAGCTTATCTGGGAATCTTGGAAGCCCTCAAGGGCCAGCCTTCTGGGTCAGTCAGAGTCTAGCCTG